ACTTACAGCAAATTGTAATAATTTTGACGTAAATTGTAATATCAATGTAAATTGTAATACAATTTGACGTAAATTGTAATACGCAAATTGTAATAAAAATTGACGTAAATTGTAATAATCTCAACTTGCGGTAAAATGTAATAACTTTTGACGTAAATTGTAATAACCTTATAAGTTTAGTGTCAAAGGCGTTAAATGACTAGAACCTATCCTTGTCAGGGTTGGTACAGGGTTTATCGTACAATCGTCATTAAATATGACTTAGTTTGGGGTGTGAGAACTTTTTGAAACTTGATATATCGAACATTGTTGTATATATATAAACTCACTGGAGTGTTATTTCTGTAGGTTAAGTACGTGGTTATCAACACAATGTATTTATATATAAAAACATATGTTTGGGATGCTTTCCTTGCATTTAAAGTGTGTTAGCAGTAGATGAAAAGAGCGATTCAGCATGAAATCAAATTTGAAAAGGGGTAAAACAGTTGTTACATAGTTTATGAAATACCCTCTGAAGACATAAATTTATATTGCAGTCTCAAATTTAGAAGTTTTAACTCAATTTCAGAAAAAAAAGTGATAAGGGTAGGCAATTAGAACTAGGTAAAAACAATTTGAGCAAAATATAATTTGACTTTTTGGTAAGTCACCAGTCATTTCATTGAAATTTTAAGAGAGTATGTTATTACAGTGCTTGATGTTAGCCCAAATTACTTTAATCCTCTTAATCTTTCAGAGGAGGTTATGTTTTCAGGGGATTATTGTATGTATATATTTCGTATCAAGGTTTCTTGGCGCAATCCACCAACGATTGTCGAGTTTAATGATCTTCAAGTACGTTTCAAGGTCAAAGAGAAAATTTACTTTAGTGACAAACATATTTTCATTATAAATTTCCAATTCCTTTCTATTTGGATACAAGCAGATATATTTCAGCAATTGATTGCAAGAAATTTATGATAATTCGTATACTCTTTGAAACTGTACAAGAGTTCTCCGAAGATACCGGATGTTATTTGTGTATGCACGGGATCTGTCAACTCATTTGTTGTATTTGAATTCTTCGTCAAAATAAAATGAATTGTATAAATATGATTAAATTCCCTCGTTTGTTTCAAGAAAAGGATCATGTACTCCTTATCAACTCGTATTGCGTTTCCACTGCAAATCGACACACTGGTTGACCAGCCTGTGTTTGTACCCTTCGTCATCACTCGTTCAGTCGTGTCGAACTGGGCAATGTACTGTTGAAGCAAGTCATGCAAAAAAACATCTTGAATAGCCTTATAAGAGTATTGAACAATATGTCACAATTAAGTTATTTGTCGAATATACGGTTGTGTAACCCATCATTTTGAACCCGAGGATGGATCTTTCAGTCATTTAAATTTATCGATGTTGATACCACCCTTTAATGACGATTGTACGATAAAGCCTATACCAACCATCCCTAACTAAACAGTTTTGTACGTTTGTCATCATACACAGTATTTCTCGAATTGTACATGTGAAACGCAAGCTCAACTGACAAAGATCATTTCTAGTCAATTGGCGTCTTGGACACTACGGTAGTAAGGTTATTACAATTTACGTAAGAATTTATTACATTTTACCGCAAGTAGAGATTATTACAATTTACGTCAAATTTTATTACAATTTGCGTATTACAATTTACGTCAAATATTATTACAATTTACGTTGTTATTACAATTTACGTCAAATTTATTACAATTTGCTGCAAGTATTACAATTTACCTTTTTAATTACAATTTACGTCGTAACAGGCATGTTTCTGACAAGCCTAGAAATATAACAACGGATTCGAACCACGGTCATATGTTTTCAACACGCCTAAAGTAACGCAATTTTGCACATTCGACTGGGCGACCCGGTTGTTAAAGTCACATGTTCCCCAAACAATGTAAACTGGTCAAATGAAAGATACCAGATCGAACCTTCAACGTTGTAGTAACGATTTGCGATGAATCCGCCAGACGTCCTGTCGAATTCGATTAGAACCGTAAGGTTGTACCACATAGGCCCGGCATTGTGGGAGGGAACGTCCCATTCAACCAAGATGGCGGACTGGTTCTGAGCAGTTCCCCGGATGTTGGTCGGCGCTGCTGGAACTGGATGGTAATACGTAGTGTTACTGTGAGACGGTAGAAATCCATAGCAACCATTGATGCTAGCAATATCTAACTGCATAGGATTTAAGGAGTTCAACATTTGATCATATATTCTGTTTTATATAGCTAATCACATACTAGAACTTGTATTTTGTATTGCGTTGGCGTTTAACGAGTTTAGCAATACATGTATTTCAGTTACTTAGAGACTACCTTAGAACTACAATATATTACGGAGTTTATGTCCCGAGTGAATTCATTTTGTAAGTTCCGAGCCTTGGTGAATCTTCAGTTATTTGCGACAATGTGCTCATACGATACCACGTTCCTCTTCTCAAACAATGAAAAAAATGTAACAATTGAAACGATCTTGACAATCATCATGCACCAAAAAATGTAATGCACAGTGAGAATTAGTGAAAATAATTTCACTTATATCCATGATATATGGGTGATATTAACAGAACTCTACTGAAAAGACGAACAAAGATCTTAATGTCGGCCATATACAACTGCCGTGAATTTATCTCACCAGTATCAAATTAATATATCATTGGGGCGAAGATTGAAGCTAGTTTTAGCAACTGTTCAAATGTTATTCAGTCAGTGAGTTTGATTGTAATTTAGTAATTTAAAAATCCCCTCAAGTTTTTCGGACGGCCATGGTCATGATTGTTACCTCATTGTACCAAGAGACATTGTAGTGATATTTGTATGGAATAACCACTGTATATAATAAATTGCAATACGTACTTCCAATATGAGTCTTCTCTTTGAGCGTTGAGTTTTCCCCTACTGTGAAATTTGCTGCAGCAGCGACACTAACAACGTAGTCTGTGTTCGAGTCCAGGTCAGTCACGTTGTAAGTCATGTCACCATGGCATTCATCATATGTTGCAGGCGTGCCCGCGCTAAGGGTATTGCAGGTGGCCTGGAGACAGCACGATAAGGGAAAACACAAAACACAAGCTTTACATTTTAGGAACGGGCAATTAAACATTCACCGGGAAGAGGGAGGGCTTGAAGTCATGTAATGTTGTCCGGTAGAACGAGAACATCAATTTATTCTTTTCATCCCATTTTATCTGTGTCATGACATACAATTTGTCCAGAGAGCACTTTAATTTTCTGGAACAAATGTTGTTGTTCTTAAATCCTAGACCCACGGAATATCAATTGGTTTGTCTCTCAATGAATATGAAAAAGAGAACACCCTTTAATAAGGACGGTACCCTAATCGTCCGAGTTATGACATATTCAGATAAATTAATCATTTTGACGAAGTAACGTCATATATGTATAAATACATTTTAAAAAATTAGTCGTGTAGAGAACGAGGTTTCCGGACACAAGGGGACCGCATTTAACCTGCTGTCACTGTGTGTATTCAAGAAGGAACAATATAAAATGTTTTAATAGGTCAGTGAGGTGACAAATATATCATTATCTCGCAGCAGTATTTCAGTAGCAATTTGCGACCAGAAAGTGAGATAATAATATTAGGATTACTTTTTTTAGAGGGAATAATATGTACTAGCTGATCCACTTATAGACAGCTTTAAAGGTTATCACAAAAATTGTCCTGCGGTAGTTCAGAAATTGTTTTGTTAATGCTTCTGCTATTTTGTGGAATGTTGGATCAGTAAATGAAAAAATGAAAACTCGGTTCCCAAAAGGGTAATGTGACTACATGTGTGATATAGCCAATCTCTGAATTCACTTACAGCTGCATATATACTATCATTTGGAAGGCAGGGGATGTAGACTGCTTTTAAACATTCGCCTCCCTTGCTTGTGAAGACGATGTACTGGTTGAATGGGACATCACTTGTTGATGCCGTCCACGAAAGACCAAGAGACGAGGATGTCGTCACTGTGGTCTTCAAATTGTTGACTTTACCCGGGACTAAAAAATAAGTCAGCATGAATTACCTGTTAGCAAATATTGAATCGGGGTTTGTTTGTAAATAATAGCATTATATTTGAATATGTCTAATGCATAATTTTCGTGTATTCATCTCGAATATGAATGATCATCTCGACGGAACAAATCATCATTTTTTGCTCATCTTTTCGCGAACACCTGGTGTCATCACTATTTAAAATTCATAAGCACTTCCTTCTGATAAGTCGGAATCGTACAATGGAGATATTACTGATTATTAAAAGGGATTTGATGCATATATATTTTGCGTTTATATCACATTAGATAGCCAGGGGGCGTGTATATAATCTGTATGGTAATCTATAGGACAATAAAAGGGCCAGGATGCATACTGCTCAGGATTGGAAGATCAGTTTATCAAGCTCAATCACCGGGCTCTATTTTAGATATATATTACTGTGTGTAATGCGTTCCTGAAAACTAATTTGACAACTATACAAGAACGGCGAAAACATCTAGCATACGAGTACTGGTAAATATTCACAAAGAGTGTCTTTGTACACTTATGGATGAACAGTTTCCACAACCCGTCAATAAATGACATTAATAAAACTTATATGCAACAAACCCCTTCCACAACCATAAGAAATATATGCTAAGAGCATTTTATTTTGTATCAAAGCAGTAATGAGACCAAGTGTTCGCGAAAGGATGTGCAATACTTAGATACATTGATCAGATGATAATGTTAACTGTCACCCACTTCCAGGGATTGAAGACCCGAAACAGGATGCCTTATAGAAATTATTTGTGTAATTGTGCTGCCTAACTTAAGCAGCGACAACATTGCAAGGACGCAAGATATATGTATATTTTGCTCTCAACAACTTTAATTAATCTGACAAGTTACACTCCACATGAACAGTTGTACTCCACATGTCTCCCATAAACCTTTTGAAAGCTTTTCTTAGGCCAAGACATACCAAACTCTGGCGTCGAGGTAGTTGCTGCTTCTGTTGTAGACAACTCTGTGGTCGAAATCTGAAATACACATTAATGGTATACAATGTAGGTGTATGGGTGAGGTGAGGTGAGGTGAGGTGAGGCGTCGCGTTCAATATTATTTCACATTGCGACGGGAGCACCAGGCAGGGTAACAACAAGTATTTTGGTATGGTACGGCTAGGGCACCGAACAACCGAGCTTCCACTCTCTAAGGCAGACGCTCTGTCCACTACTACTATGTGTATGTGTTGTCCATCTGTGAAAACAGTGACCACGTAGTGTTCACATGTTGTCTAAATATTCTGTAGTCGAAATCTGAAATACACAATAATGGTATACAATGTAGGTGTATGGGTGAGGTGAGGCGTCGCGTTCAATATTATTTCACATTGTGACGTGTGTGTTTGTGTGTGTGTGTGGGGGGGTGGGGGGTGGGGGGGTGGGGGGGCTGATTGTACAAGTCCCGACTCATGCCTGTTTATAATGCTAGCCCACTGTGCTACAATGAGGTAGTTAAGATGCTTCTCCGCACCTACGTCCTCCTATTGTCACCCGAATGCCGGGCAACAACAAGTATTTTGGTATGGTGCGGCTAGGGCATCGAGCAACCGAGCATCCACTCTCTAAGGCAGACGTTCTATCCACTACACCACCGAGGATGTTGATAAACAGAAACACTGAGACGACACATGACTATTAGAAAGACCTAAGCCGAGCACATAAGGGTAGGGTCTGTTTGACATGATATCCATGATGGTGTGTTTGTGGTTGAACGCAGCATTCAGCAATATTCCACTAAACCTAAAATAAAACCACGTCGAACGGGATTAAACCCACGATCAGAGACACACATAACAGTCGCAACTTCACACGAGTTATGGGGTCTTAGACGACTGAGACCCATTCCCCAAGCAGACAAGTGTACATGAAAAGAGATAATGCGATCATGTGGGGTACCTTCACGGTCTCGCATGAAAAGAAAGTTAACGCGTGATCTAAACACTCACCGGAAGTACAGACCCGATACTGAATGCAGCCAACATGAAACACCATCCTACAAATATGTCCATTGTGAATAAATGCTTCCCGAGACTGGGGCCAGGTGTATATGTGAGGTCTGACAAGGACTTTTACAGAGCGGAGATTTACACTGCTTGACCAGGCCGACGCCGGGCAATGTAGGCCATGTCAACTGCTGATAAGCTGGTGATTGTGTTTGAGGCTGCCGTCCATCGATAGAGAAGTGTGGGTGATCGGATGACCAAGAGGTTATAAATATAGCATTAGATGTCGTTATATGCAAAGTGGAAATGTGATTGTAAAATTCTAGCATAAAGAAATTTCTTATATTGCTAAGCCTTGTCTGCAATATTTTGACCACTATGGAAAATGACATTGTTTTGCGAGGCGCCATGTGCAGCCTGGTGTATTTCACAAGAAGACAGGGGCGGTCGGGTAGTCTAGTGGTTAAAGCGTTCGCTCGTCACGCCTAAGACCCGGGTTCGATTCCCGACATGGGTACATTGTGTGAAGCCCATTTCTGGTGATATTGCTGGAATATTGCTAAAAGCGCCGTAAAGCCTTACTCACTCACTCACTCACAAGTGTTATGTGTGTTATGTGTGTACAAACCACATCTAACCATTGGTTTGGAGAGGTTTACATGCGGTAGGATGTCTTGCAGTACAACGTATTTAAATGGGGACCAGCAACAAATTGTTTGCTGTTTCCTGAATAACTACCTTTTATTATTACCTTTTTGTTAATACAGAATAAGTTCCTATTAAACCTATTTATCCATCCATTATTCCTGAAATTGACAAGAATGTTCAGGGAAATTCACTTTAAGAAATCAAATAATCTGTCCCTGAACGATGCCTGGCTGGACATCAAATTAACACTTACAGTTAACGTATTGATACAAGATACTATTTACACTTTGAATGTCTCACATATAAATATTTAACGTTCGGCCTAGTAACAGTCAGTGACTGTGGCTTAACGTGGGAGTGTTGCTTATCAATCAAACTGAAGAGCAAAATACACCGACATATTATCACGTCCTTGCATTGTTGTCGCTACTTGATAAACGCGATACAATTTCACAATAATATCTGTCGGGTATCCTGTATCAGGTATCAAGCCCTACAATCTGATCAAAGTATCAAAGTACTGCACACCCTTTCGCGAACACTTGGTAGTATCACTATTTTGAAAGTGATTCATATACGTACGTTTATGATATAGTCGGAATCGAACAATGGGCTCTGCTTTTAGCATAGACTTCTATTAATTATGGAATAGACTGGGCTGATTCTGGAATAATGTACATATTAAAAGCAATCGAGGCATGTCATGTTTACTAAACCTTACCCAGTTGCACAGAAGAGTATATGTATGCACGTGAAACATTACTGATAATGACGTTCACTCACTTACCAGAGCTTTGAAAAATAATAAACATGTGAAACAAATGACCTGTGTTTAAAGTATTCGCAGTTCTTTCTCTGATCCTATCAAAATCATGTATTGCATGACGACAATATTTCGCTGAAATGTGTCATTTCCATCCTATGCATACACCGCCGTCATATAGCTGGAATATTGCTGAGTGCGCGTTAAACAATAAACCAAACCAAACCATCCTATGCATACAAGGAAAAACATGAATGACATGCATACGAGAGAGATTGTTGACTGTCAACCGTTCGTTACCATGCTAAATAATAACATTTTATTGTGCATATTTCATATGTTATAAGAGATAGATTTCCTGTGTGTGGTCATTCTAGACCCTGCAGACGTTTCGTCAAATGTACGAATGATATTTGATTATTCGCAATTTGTATCACATAAAAAACAAACGGATATTTAAGACAGTTAGCTTGTTAAAGTACTGAGGAAATAAACGAAAAGCAATTTATCTTATCTATCGTGATTCACGCAGCTCCACACATACCCAAGGCCTGAAGAACTTTAAGGAACTCACTTCAACATTCAGAGACCCAATGCTGGAAGACATGGGTAACTAAAAGAACTGTTCAAAGATGAGTGCAAGCGTACACATGATAAAAGCTATTGTTAATGAATGAAACGTCGTGAAATGACCCCTCTTTCTGGTCCTGTTCCGTCAGTTCTCTCGACCATTCTAACCCGGAATCCCTACGAGGGACATTGAGTGACTGAGTTTCGGGTAGGCTTTTAAGTGAGTGGGATTTTATGCCCATGTTAGTATCACAGCAACATTACGATGGGGGCACAATAAATTGGCTACACACAATGTCCATATGTAAAACATATCTATCTTCAGAGGTTCACATCAATTTGTCAAACATGAAAGGAAATGTCATCGGAAGTTTACTGAGAAAGCGATATGTGAAATGCTGGACTTTGGGGAAAGACATTCTGACGGGAAGTCGGAATCCCCATGAGCACCAGTTACACTCCCCTTCTTGCTGATCTGTGTCTTTATGCATTTGATTCAAACTTTCTGCTCGGATTGACAATGTCAAAGAAGGTAATTTGGCCAAGAACTTTAACTTAAGCTTCAGGTATAGCGATGATCATAAATCGTTCAATAACCATTAAATAGCCGAATCCCTTCCTCTGATTTACCCACCCGAACTAGAACTAGGAGACCAGTGAGACCGCTTTATCTGTTTCATATCTATGCATAAAGATTCCAAGTGACAAAACACTCAACAAGACTGTATGACAAGAGGGATGACTTCAACGTTCCCATAGTCAATTTTCCCTTTATGTCGAGCAATATTCCAGCCCTTGGTGTCTACGTTTCACAACCTTTGAGGTACAATCGAGCATGCTATTCTACCAAGACTTCAAAGAGCGTCAAACGACTCTTGTTCGGAATGTGTTTGATCAAGGTTTCAACATTCCCGGCCTCAGTAAAACTTTCAAAATGTTAAATGTGAGGACATTTTCAAGTGTGACGCAACAGTGATGCAATTCCCTATTTTGACTTGTACCATATGTTCCCGTGTCTTTTTAGGTGAACAATTGACTTGCTTTTGAATGTGTTTGTGACGGGTGCCACCGTCGGGTCGGGATTCGCACATCTTTTCGCGAACACCTGGTATCATCACTATTTGAAAGCGATTCCACATCACGTGCTTTTGACATAGTCGGAATCGTGCAATCGACTGTGTTTTGGACAGAGGTTTTATCTATATAGTGCCCCTGTTGTGTTGATAGTGCCAAAGTAGTGTATATAGTGCCCATGTAGTCTATGTAGTGCCCATGTAGTCTATATGGTGTTTATATCCACTCCTATTCATGCCTACTCCACACAATAATCCCCTGAGTAAACAACAGTAGGCATCTTCAGTGTGGTACCGTATGTACTAAGGTGACATAATCAAATGGATGAGCAGACGAAAACAAATAGATGCAATGTTTTAGAAAATCTGAGTAAGAAGCAGGCAGACTGGGCGTCGGCCCGATCATCATGATGGTCGACATTGCGCAGGCCGTCAAACACCGAGAACCCGTGTTCACCCCACTTAGGGGATTCCCCCAACTGGCGGAATGTTTTGTTTGGGGGCTGATTTCACCTGTCGTTTCTTACGGACTGTTTTACGCTACTTCCGTTTTTTAAATTTAATTTTGATCAAGCATTTGTGATTAAGTAAGCCCTAAAGTATTAAAATCTGCAAAGTTGCTATGTTGACTTTACTTGCCCTTTAAATATGTACGCATATCACAGGCCGTAACGCATAGGGGCGGCCATCTTGAAAATCAATATTGTGTGGAATGTGTACACAGGGAAGATTCTGGGGCAGGCGCGTTCTTTGGTCACACATATCCTGAATCATTGTACATTCAGGTGGGTCACGCTGATAAGAGCGGGCCATAAATAATTAAGTTATACTTGTCAGGCAATCACGGGTAGAATACCAGAAATCTTGACGGTGGGTCTTTCGGTCGATTTGATTGATATCCTGCGTGCTTCCACAGCACGTAGACGGGTGGGCCGCATGTCATCTTGACATAACTGAAGCCTTGTAGGTGAGGTGAAGGTTATTGTGAAATAGCGAAATCCATACACGGTTTTTGTATGCTTGTTTGAACCAATGCCGGTTTAATAGTGCAAAGCCACTTAGATACCATATCGCAGGTTAAAATATAGTATATTGTGTCTATGTAGTTCTCATGGCGCCCGTGTAGTGTATAAGGTGTCCTTGTGCTGTACATAGTGTCTATCTGAGTATTCAGTGTCCAATTGTGTATTCAGTGTCCGTCTGTGTATCTACTGTCCATGAAGTGTATAAAGTGTCCTTGCAGTGTAAATAGTGTCTATCTGAGCATTCAGTGTCCGTCTGTGTATCTACTGTCCATGTAGTGTATAAAGTGTCCTTGTCGTGTACATAGTGTCTATCTGTGTATTCAGTGTCCATTTGAGTTTCCGGTGTCCATCTGTGTATCTACTGTCCATGTAGTGTATAAAGTGTCCTTGCAGTGTACATAGTGTCAATCTGAGTCTTCAGTGTCCGTCTGTGTATCTACTGTCCATGTAGTGTATAAAGTGTCCATGTAGTTTACATAGTGTCTATGTGAGTATCCAGTGTGTATGTAATGTCCAAGACGTGTACATGGTGTCCATCTGGGAAAGATGGAAATATTGTCCATGTACATGTGATGTATAAAATTCCATATGTGTGTATGTAATGTCCATGTCGTGCACGTGGTGTCCATCTGGGAAAGATGGAAATATTGTCCATGTACATGTGATGTATATAATTCCATATGTGTGTATGTAATGTCCATGTCGTGCACATGGTGTCCATCTGGGAAAGATGGAAATATTGTCCATGTACATGTCTTGTATATAATTCCATATGTGTGTATGTAATGTCCATGTCGTGCACATGGTGTCCATCTGGGAAAGATGGAAATATTGTCCATGTACATGTGATGTATATAATTCCATATGTCCATGTAGCTAATATACATGTAGTGATCATGTAGTGTATAACGCGTCCATGTTGTGTATACAGTGCGCAGGTAGTGTATCTTCTTCCGAGTAAATAGTGCCAAGGTAGTGTGCATAGTATCCATGTGGGAGAGTGAGTATGGTTTTACGCCGCATTTAGCAATATTCCAGCAATATCACAGCGGGAGACACCAGAAATGGGCTTCACACATTTTGCCCATGAGGGGAATCGAACCCGGATTTTCGGCTTGAGAAGCGAACGCTT